AGGACGCTCCCTAAAGCTGCAGCAGCTGTTGAAAAGGCTATGTTCAGTAAGCAGCTCAGAGTCCTATACAGAAGATAAATTAAAACCAATAAAAAAAATCAATGAAGAAGCTAGGTGAAAAGGAAGGAAAGGGAGGGAAAGGGAAGACTCATAGGCAAGAAGAGACAGGCAAGGTAACGGGGGACAGTACGTTGCAGACTGAAGAAGCTACATTTAAGTAAAAAAGTAGACTGGAGACAAAGCAATAGGAAAAAAAAAGGAAAGAACAAAAGGGCAAGTTACACCAAAGGTCCCTCAGAGAACTTGCCAACCCACCCACTCCASGGTAAATGCCCATCATATGTACAGGTTTACCTGACCCAGCAGGGAGAATTTCCCATTTCTACAATGAAGCCATCCCCCATTCCTCATATTACTGTGTAAAGCATACGATTTCCTCTATAAGTGAGGGCGTTCCAGCCCTTCCACCTCCCTTCCCCAAAGACTGGCATTAACMCCCAGCTAAGACCCTCAACATCTCAAACCATAAAGGAAAAGTTCAAAGCACTCTAGAGCTAGTGTTTCCTCACCTGTGAGCCTGAAGTTTTTGGTACTTACTTGCAATCACCACCACCACAAGGGCACCAATCACTCCCATCATGATCATCATCTGGAGAAACAGATTGTCCAAGAGCAATATCAGAACAGACTGACAAGTTCACATCCCTCCTGACAGCCAGGGAACATAARCCAGGCCCTGAAGGCATGACAGCCCCAAAGCCTTCCCCCCACATCTTAAGCATTTGAAACTGTTACTAACCCCCAGCTGTACTTGCAAAGCCCTGCASGAGAGGAGTAGCCCAGTTCCCCCTCCTGAGGAAGGAGATCATGGCAGGAGACCCACCTTGCAGTTCTTCCACCAATACTTCCTTTTAAGTTTTGCTGCACTACTTTCAAATATTGARGCACCAGCCTGAAGGGCATCTGCCCGGTCATCCAGCTTTGACAGCATCTCATCTCGTTGCAGTACCTTGTCCACATTTACAGACATTATATCAACCACCTGCAGAAGGAAGAATAGGAGGAGCAGGTGTATTGGCAAAGACAGTTGATAAAGAAGAGTAACTTGGCCGATAACTGACTTTGAGATGCTAACGAAGAATATAAACAAGGGTGGGGGGAATACCAGGGTAAGAAAGAAGTCATTTCAAGTCACTGCCTGCTTTGAAGTGGGGAAAAAAATCGGAGATTYACTGTTAAAATATCAGTTCAAGTACACTTAATCCAGGTCCTCAGCCTCACATTCTCATCCGCTTTTAAGAGCTCTCCATTCTCCATTCCTTTCCTCAAGAGAGGAGTCATGCTCACTCCCCCAGAGCTGCAGAATTAACTCACGAGCTTCATGTTGCTGCCACAGTGAGGCACAAAGGCGCTACTGCGCCTCACTGTCATTGATCCCGGGAAGCCAAGAAAGGATTCCCCCACATCACTGCATACACGCTGTTCCCTTGAAGCAGCCCGCAGGGATTAAAAGCTGTTCCTGGATGCTGTACAGCTTTATTGCCRTAACCGATGCACAGTAATGAGGTATCAAAAACAATCTAACAAAYCTGGTCCTTGGAAGCCGTATCTGGAATTAAGTGACTTTTAAACATAAAGCAATCTCTCCTCCAGCCTCTTTTATAGGTCTGCCACCCTATTTTTGCGTATTGAGTATTACTTCATTTCTGGCACTGGCGTGACAAAAGGAGCCATCCCCTCAGCAACAGACCCAGTCAARAACATCGCTGCTACAGAGCAGTGGGAGAAGGATCCAGGCACCCATCGGGGAAGCCAGCGGGGCTGGCAGAGYTACTGACCTCCTGCACTTGGGCCTGCGTCTGCTGCAGGCGGCGATTGCTGCTCAGATTGGGGGGAGCCCCGGGGGGACCCCCACCGGGAGCTGCCCCTTCGGGAGCTCCTCCTTCGGGAGCCCCTCCTTCGGGAGCCCCAGGAGCAGGCTGCTGGGCTGGGTCAGACCTAAGGAAACACACACACATGAGCGAAAATTCAGCCGCTCAAGCGAGTACCCCCCAAAATCACACAAACCCCGATGGCCCCAGGCTGAAGCAGAGCTGACAGCAGCCTCGGAAGCCCGCGGCCTCCATGCATCCCCCCAGAACGGGAGCAGGCAGGCCCGCGGGAGAGCCCGAAACAGGAGCAAGCGCAGCGGGGCAGCGGCGATCGGACCAGCCCCTTGTCGAAGCAGTTTTCGGGTGCGGTCCCGCCAAGAACTGCGGCCTCCTGGGGGGAACAGCGACCCGGCCGCATGGAGGTGACCGGGAGACAGGGAAGGAAGGTGCGGGGAGAGGGACAGGGARGCAGCGCGGGGGCACCCTGAGACGACACGGCAGCCACCAGGCTGGGAGCAGCGGTGGCCGCCGGCCAGGTTGGCTCCAGCTGGAGCCCCACGCATCACCAGCGGGGCACGACCATTGCGTGGTGATGCACCCACCCACCCACTCACGCAGTCGGCAGGGGAGCAAGACCGCCCGGGGGCGGTGCGGGCAGCCCTGCCTGCGGCTGCTGCAATGCGCCACCCGACCCCACCGCCGCYGGCCAGGACGCGAGCTCTGCACGGACCCCGCTCCCTCACGCTGCAGCCCCAAGCCCCGCACCGCGCCCACCACAGCACGCCCAGGGCCGGTCGGACACTCACATGGCCGGGCCGGACAGAACACCAAGAACCGAGCACAGAGCTCCGCATTGACAAACAGGGAAACCCCGGGACCCCACACTTATAATAGCAGGGCCCCGCCCACAGAGCCAGCAGCCAATCAAAAGTTGTTTCGCCGGGAGTGGCAGATCGGCACCGCCCCTAAGTTCCCTCTCAGCCAATCAGCGCTCGGCACCCTGCGGAAATGGCCATGGTGTTAGCYCCGCCCCATCCCGCCGAGAGGACAAGCCCCGCCCCGCCGTGGGGCTGCCCAATGGGAGCAGAGCCCTGCGCCCCGCCCCTGCTGTGGCCCCGCCCCCTGCGGAGGTCCCGCGGTGCCCAGGTTGGGGTGCCCGGGGCTCCTGCGCCCCGTGGGGCCGGGGGCTCGCATGGCCCCGATCCCGATCCATGGCCCTGCCGCTGGTCCCGCCAACCCTGAGCGGGTCCGTCGCRCTCCATGTAGGTCACGCAGGGTCTGATCGTGGTTACGTTCGGTTTTCCGCTTGGAGCCCAGCCCGGCTGGCGCCGTGGTGGTGGGGGCTGCGGAGCGCTCCCGAAGTCCCACCTCCGCAGTGTGCCTGTTGGCTCTGGTTAAGCCGCTGTCCTTGCAATTAAGAAATGGTGTCGCTGGCCGACTTCCACCGTACAGCGCGGCACGAAAGCGAACCTGAGCAARCCCCGGTCTAGCTTCTGCAGCCTGCTGGGAGAAATGAGGCTCCCACAGCAGCCCCAAGAGCAGCAATGKGGTTGGCGTTTTTCCTTCTCAAGATCTGGAGAAGCCCACTGGATCAGAAGGCATGAAAAGGAGGCAGAAGCATACTGGAACAAGAAGTCTCTTGTACRGAATTTTGTGTGGTGAGTAGAGTGACAAGCGTGGGTTCACGGCTACACTACCTTTTCCTTTCACAAGGTGATAGAGGACATTCATAGAAGTTTCTAGTGTCAAATCTCATAGATTATTAGATACACAAGACAGATGCGTTATAGATTACAGCATGGGAACTAGAAGACTGGTTACTAGGGGAAGGCATAATACAGTGTTGTGACTAGAGACATGTGATTTGCAGATAGGAGCAGACAAGCACTGACATCAGAACTCAAGGTTATAAGCTGTGCCTTCAGACAGCACAGGCTGTCTGTGCTGAGGGGACAAGTTGAGGAAGAAGCTTCGGAGGCCTGGCAGCCTTTCCACTGCAGTCTGAGGACCWTTCCAATAACCATTGCAAATAACTGAAGCTGGAGTTTATGGAACTAGTGGCCACAGAGCCATTGSCAGTTTGGTGCTTAGGGATAAACAAATGACAAAGAGTACAAGATGCTTTCTCTGATACTCTTCCAGTTTCCGAYGTATTTTCAGTCAAGGATTTGCTACACCTGCTCAGTCTCCACTTGGATCTGTGCACACTTCAAATCCACAATACCTTTTGGCAAGTCCCACAGGTCTCCCACCCTGCTTCTGAGAATGTGGACTTCAGCTGTTTTAACAGAGTTTGCCTTTACCTTCCTCAGGCTTAGACCTAAAGAAAGTTATTTCTATTCATTCCCCGCCATGTGCTTTTGGAGACAGAGCAGCCTCACTCTGTAGCAAGATACATCAAGTCAGCACGTAACTCCCCAGTTACTTAGCAGCTAAGTTAACAACTAAGGCAGAACTGGTAGGCAAATGCCTGCTCATCATATGGATTTTTGCCAAGTGTACACTCGTGTGATGCTGGACTAGAGGGATGCCAGCTTATCTAAAGGAATGGGCAACAATTATAGAAAACTAGAAGCTAGAGGTTCTACAAACATTCAAATATCTGAATTACTTTTGCAAAGCCTGCCTATATTATAAACAAAAAGCCATTTGGTCACTATGCATCATTAGTAGGGGATCACGTCATCCTGAGTGTGGAATGAGACAAGTCCCATTCTTAAGACAAGTTTTGATGCATTTCAACTAACATTTGGATCATTCGCACTTAATCACAGATAAGAGATGAAAGGGGAAAGCGGTGAGCAGGAAGACATATTAGTMGGGCCTCTTGGCACTAACTTGAAAATTTGCTTATGAGGAAAAATCTAAGTTGGAGAATACTGGAATTGTTATGTAGGATGTGAGAACCTGGGGCTCAGAGACCGAAAGGATGCTGGAAACCTGACTAAAAAAATAGAGGACTGGAGAATCAGGTTCAGGGATGCTGACTGGAACAGCTGTCTGCAATAAGTATCAATTGCAGAAATAATTGAGGAGACAGACAGGAGCTYGGGCCTGGAGAAGCAGGAAAACCTTGGGGACCAGAGTAGAAATATGCAGCAAGGRTTGTAGAAAGTACTGGGAACCCAATCATGTAAAAGCAGGTTTATTCTGACTGCAATGCCATGAAACCACACTCCACATGCTGAATGAACCAAGAGGTTTCCTAGCGGTGCTTCCCGGTGCGATTGAAGCGCTTGTACAAGTACCGGATCCTCTTGTTCAGTTTATGATAGTCCTCTACAAACATCCGATCGCCCACCATCTGCTTCTTGCGGATGCACCTCTGCAGCTCGTTACCCCGCCAGCCTCGCAGCCAAGTGGGCCCCATGATGAGATTCTTCGGATGGATCTGGAAACCGCCTGARAACAGGAGAGCACCGACACATTAAGCCAGGTTCTGGAGATGGCTGTTCCCAGGGCGGCCGGCCCCAATCCTTCCCGCCCTGTCRCTGCTGGCAGAGGCGCCAGCCCGCAGGTGAGTCCAGCCTCCCTCCCCTCCTGCCCCAGGGCCGCAGCGCTGGGGAGCTGCGGGCCAGGTGTTTGTCTTACCCAGGATCCCCACGTTATCATAGACCCCAAACAAGGCCCGCTTCTTCGTCCACCGATCCACCGGCTTGCGCTTGGGTGGCTCCTTGATGCGAATGGTCCGGGAGAGCCCTGCCAGTGGCGAGGAGAGCGGCACGGGGAGGCCGGGCCGCGCCGGCGCCCAGAGTGCCCCKCCGCAGCCGCTAATGCCCCGCTCGGCGCGAGGCAGAGGAGCGGCACGATCCAGCAGTGCTCGGCCCGCCGTCCGCAGCAGCAGCGCTGCCGCCGCCATGGGGATGACCCCCGGCACCCGGGGCAGGGACGGGACGGGACGGGACGGGACGGGACGGGAAGAGCGGCGGTGCCGCCGGGCCGCCCCTTCCGCCGGGAGCGCAGGGGCGCGCGGGTGACGTCACCCAACGGTCGGGAGCGCAGCGGAGCCGGCGATTGGGCGGGGGGAAGGGGCGGGGCGAGCGGCCCGCGCGCGCTGTTTTGAGCGCCCGTGGCYGCGCTGTGGTGGGGCTGTGGTGGCCATGGTGGCGGCGGCGGTCCCGGAGTTCCATCTGCCCCTCGCCCCCGCCGATCTGCTGCGGGATGGCGGCTCCGGGTACTACGTGGTGCTGGAGGTGCTGCCCGTCCGCGAGCTGCCGCCTGCACTCGCAGGTAAGGTGTCTCCATTGTCCCCTTCCGGCTGGGCCCGGTCCTGCCGCCTGCTCACGGCCATCCCCTCCGCTTCTCTYCGTGTTTCCCCTCAGCTTTCCGGGCCGCCTTCCGTGCGCAGGGTGCGCTGGCCGTGCTGCAGAACTTCGACTGCGTGTACAGCGTGCTGCAGTGAGTACGGGGCAGGGAAGGGGCGATGGGACGGACCTCGCCCCTCTGCCGGGCGCTTTTTGCTCGCCACCCTCACGCCCTGTGTTTGCCCCGCAGCCACTTCCGGACCGTGGGCACGGCTGTCAAGGAGGATGCCTTGGAGCTGATGATACACGGTGCGTACCCGCTGTTTCCGGCCGACAGGACTAACGGAGAGGTTGCTCTCCCTTGGCAGCTCAATGATGATATAAAGGCTAATGTGACTCAGCCAGCTGGGCAGCACYCTCAGCCCACTCCTGTAATACGGGTCTGTAATCTTGGTGGACAATGCCAAGTTGTGCATGTTCGCTGTAAGGGCAGACCGACAGAAAATCCTCTCGCCCATGTCCCTGGAAAATATATCTCTGGGATGTGTCAGTTCAGAGTGAGTGTTTCTCCGAGCTGATGAAGGGCTGTAGGGATAGGACAAGACAGCATGCCCAAGGTTTGGGTTGCAGAGTGCAGCCCATGTTACAGCTGGTGAGATGTGAGCACACATCTTTGGTAATCTGATGACTGCACTAAGCCTCCAAAAGAGCGGATGGCTGAGGGATCTGGCAAGGAGTGCTCATGACTTTCTGCTTCTCTTCAGTGGTGTCCCATCATTCCAATGAGCTCCCTGCTATCTTGAGCGACTCTGGGCTGAGCCACGCAGACCGTACTGCTCACCGCAATGCTCTTAAGATGAACTGCTACTTGCTGACTGGCCTGGTGGATGCCTTTGAGATGGAAACATGCAAGAAYAGTTGTTTGGAGGCAGATCCTGGTAGGAAGGTAAGTGAGGGGGCTGGGGGAAAGATAAAAGTCAAACTAAAATTTTAAGCTCGCTGAACTCTGTGTTTAAATGCGCCAGGTGTTATAGCTGAGTTTATATAAACATGCTAGCAAGAGCAGTTCATAATGTGGAGCACTRGTGCTTCTGTGAAACTGCTTGGAACTCGGCCAAAGGGACAATCATGTGTCTAAATATCARTAGGGACTTGGAGGCTTAGATCTTTCTATTTTACTCTTCAGTTTCTGGCTGGGACATAGTGTGCCAATATTTTCTCAAGATTTCCTTTCTGTGGGCAGAGATGATGGCAGTGGATGCAGGTATAATCCTTAAACCACATAATCCTTAAGGCACTGGTGCTGGCCTGAGCTGAGAGMGAATTGGGGAAAAATTCTTCCCACTGTGATCTCACATATCTCAGTGTGTGTCCSTTAATACAGCAGAATTTGACAGACTTTCTACTTTGAAGGAAGCAGGGTGGTGATGGACTTTTGTTTGTTGTGAAACTGTTGATGTATGTTACTCTGTAATCTCTTTTCTAGAACAGAAAGAACCATGCCAAGACTTCTGGATCCTTTTGGGAAGAGGAGAGGGAACCGCTCTTAAGGCTGCTTACACAGCTGCTGCAGCTGGATCTCCGTCAGCTTTGGGGTGGTTTAGCAATGGAAGAAGAGTTTGTCAGGTATGGGTTGGAACGGGTGTATATGTGCAATGAGGGAGTTCTGAGGCATAAAAGGTTAAATGTTAAATCTACCAGTGAGGGGTATTACAGCTCACTGTGGGGTGCAGATCATTGGGAAACTGAGGAAACAGCTCGGGGCAAAAMCAGTGTGTATAGGAACCATTTCCTTGTGTAGGCCTCAAAAATTCAGATGTTTGCTAATTTTTAGAAAATACTGGAGAATCTCTCAAATAGAAACCTGTGCTAGAATGATATTGGTGCAAGTTGTGATAGTGAGGYTTGCTGTCTGTCTTCCATGGTTTTAGCTTAATGACAGGAAGCTGCTATCGTATTCTGGAGAATCCAAGTATTGGCCTTCAGAGATACCGGGCCACACGGGAGGCTGTGACACATCTGCTCGGTGCAGCTCTGGTTCACTGTGACCACATGTTCAGTGAGTTCCTGCTCTTCTGCCTTCTTCCTGAAGCCATTCCCAGTTACTTTGTCTGACCTCCCTCTTCCTTCTCACATGTGAAAGGTGCCACTCTGAAGATCACACAGATGCTGCAACACTTTGAACATGTAGCCCCAGTGTTAGCACAGGCCGTGAGCCTCTGGGCTAAAGAGTATGGTCTGAAAAGCCTRGTGGGTGAATTGCTAAGGTGAGAGAAATACCTGGATGCTTTTCCTTCTGTCCCTAGCAACTTGAGGCACCTTGAGGCATTCCTTGTTTCATCTTTCTGTGCAGGGAAATTGGGCAGAAATGTCCCCAGGATTTGGCTCGTGAAGCTTCTGGAGTCAAGGGTTATGCTACCTTTATAAGTGAACTGGCTGAACAGATTCCAGCTCTGGTGCTCTCCAACATGAGTGTTCTCCTGCCTCACTTGGATGGGGAGGTATGTTTCTGCAAAGATATCTGTCTGGAAAAGTCCCATGGTAGAGATGCTGCTATCTAGTTTTTCCATCTGAAATCAGGCCTCTTTCACAGAGCTCAAGCAGCCAAAACGTGCTCTATGGAATAGGTTCTGTTCTTACCTAAAAGATACAAAGGGAACAGAAACCATGACATCTACTCTCTGGTGGTCACTGTCAGATGTCAGAGAACAGGAGACTGCCTGCTTGTCTGAGGTCCCAGCTGTTGTCCCTTGTACTTCAGCACTTAATGAATTTGTCATTGTGTTACCTTTCTTTATCTGCCCTTTAGAGCTGTAAGTGTTTCTCATGTCAATTCTTGGCTTATGTGGACCTATCTGGATAGCGAGGTTTGGGTTGGAAGGGACTTTAACATCTCTGCCATGGCCAGGGACACCTTCTACTAGACCAGGTTGCTCAAAGTCCCATCCAACCTGACCTTGAACATTTCTAGGGATGGGGCATCTACAACTTTTCTGGACAACCTGTTCCAATGTCTCATCACACTCAACAAAGATTTCTTCCCAATATCTAAACCTTCCTTTACTTGGAAGCTGTTCTCTCAAGTTCTATCACTGCATGCCCTGGTAAAAAGTCCCTCTCCAGCTCTCTTGTAGCCCCTTTTTAGGTACTGAAGGTGCCTCCCCAGAGYCTTCTCTTCTGCAGGCTGAACAAGACCAGCTCTCAGCCTCTTCATAGGAGGAGGTTAGTCTGTCTTGCAGGCACAGCTATGTTCATCCAAGGTTAATACAATGTCCATACTGAAAAAATTCACTTAGGGCTGGAGCTTGGGACTCAGAAGATCCAAACTCTGCATACATCAAGTCAAGTGTTTTTGTCTGTTCCTAGTTCAACAAATCTTCTCTTGGCAGAGTTACACGATGCGAAATGCCATTCTGGGGGCTATGGCAGAAGTGCTCGTACAGATGCTGAATGGTGACCAGCTGGAGGAAGCTGCCCGTGGTACTCGGGACAAGTTTCTGGATATGCTGCAGGCCCACGTGTGTGATGTCCACAGCTTTGTGCGCAGCCGCGTGCTGCAGCTCTTCACTCGAATCGTTCAGAACAAGGCAAGTCTGTGCTGTGGAAATGGCATTGCATCAGTTGTCCCTTCCCCTCTTGTGTGTTTTAAGGGTGTTTCTGCCACCCTGMTTTTTGTTTGCAGATACTGAAGTTTTAACAGGGAAAGGTATTGTCCTGTGGTGTCAGCAGTTTCTTCCAAACAAAGTTCCCGGGGTGGGGGAGCTGGGGAATGGGAAATTAAACGCTGCTCTTCRTTACTGAGACAAACTAGAAGAAAGAGCACAGCATGCAGCCTCTTTTCACCCACTGGTATGGGAAAACATGACAATTACCAGATACACTAAGACTCAACAGGACCCTGGATAACCTAAATCCTTGCTTTCAATGGAGGCTGGACCAGAATACATCCAGAGATCCTYTGAGCCCTAGACTTTTCTGTAAATCTGTAATCTGTGCCCTTTAGTACACTAATATATCTGTAATAAACTTTTCCCAAGTCTCTGAGCCTTCTTGATAACTTTATCTGTGCTCTCTTTGTGTTCTAGGCCCTGCCTTTGACTCAGTTCCAGTCTGTGGTGTCGCTGGCTGTTGGGCGGCTCAAAGACAAATCTGTCATAGTAGTTAAAAATGCAATCCAGCTCCTGGCTGCGTTTTTGTCCAACAATCCCTTCTCCAGCAAGGTAATTCCAATTAATGAGGTGGATATGTTAATTGTCTCTGTTTGCAGGCTGAACGTCTGCAGCGTGCTATAGCCAGAGCAGTAGCATTTCTGGGTCTTGTGGGAGGAACAATTTAGCCTTTGACTCTGCAGGTCTCTTTCTGGTTTTCCCAGGATCAGGTCTCGCTTTTCTTGGGCTCATCCCTCTCTTCGTAGTAATAGCTGTAATTCACAGCTATGCTAAAGGCCAGGGGGGATGTAATTGACTGAGGTAAAAACCTGCAGCAATTTTATTTGAATCCACTGCAGGGTTTCTCTCCTTAGGATGAGAACTGGTTTTTCAGAAAACTTTTCATGAATCTTCAGCTCTTTGTGTTTAGCTGCACCTTCTTCTGAGTTTCTGAGCCTTAGACTGGCAACTTATAGCAGTTCTCATTCTAGGATTGGGGCCAGAGTCTACTGTTCA